TGGCAGAATAGCATCACGTCGTCGGCGTACAAGGATATGGCCGGAATGTCTCGTCGGGGGTGCAGCCGCTGCAATATGCCGGCGTCGTGGGCGCGGCTGATTAGGCGCCCAAGGATGTCCACGGCGAGCACGAAGAGCTGCGGAGATACGGGGTCTCCCTGGCGCAGCCCGCAGCGATGCCAAACTGGCGGTCCTGGCTCACCATTGATCATGATCCGAGTGCTCGAAGATGATAGCAAGATCGCGAGCCACTCCCTGAAGCGAGGTCCTAATCCGTAGTGGCCAAGAGCCTCGAAGACGAAGGGCCATGATAGGGAGTCGAAGGCGCGCGTTAGGTCTAGCTTGAGCATCACTTTCGGAACCCCAAGTTGGTGCAGCAGCTTCATCGACTGCTTGACGAGGACAAAGTTGTCGTGCAGGCTCCGTCCCAGAATGAAAGCGTTCTGGTTGCGGCTGACCATGTTTCCCAATCTGGGCGCTAGGCGGAGCGATAGCACCTTCGCGAAGATCTTCGCCACAAGGTGAATGAGGCATATTGGCCGGTAGTCGCGTAGTTGGCACGCGCCTGCCCGCTTTGGGAGTAGTGTCAAGAGGGCATGGTTGAGCTTGCTGAATCCACGACCGTGCAGCTCAAAGACGTCGAAGAAGTCTTGCTTGATGATGCTCCAGCAGGCCCGCAAGAATTATGCGGTAAATCCGTCCGGCCCCGGCGCTTTGCGAGCCGGGAGGCGCTTGACGGCGTCCCAAATCTCCTCCGGGCTGAATGGTGCCTCGAGGTTAGCCAGGTCGTGGGGCTCGATGATCTGCGATAGATCCAGCGTGTGGTTGCGGGCGGCGAAGGAGCCAAGGAGCTCGTCAAAGTACGTGAAGGCCGCTTGGGCCATTCCCTCCTGATCAGTGATCACTTGTCCATCGACCACAAGGTGGAATATGTGATTCTTCTGTCGGCGGAATGAACATTGCCGGTGGAGGAAGGCTGTGTTAGCATCGTCGTCCTTGAGCGTGGTGATCCACGCCCGTTGCCTCGCGATCGTGCGCTTGAGAGAAGCCAGCCCCAAGTATGAGATCTTGAGCTGTTTCCGCAGCCAATCTTCCGGGGGAGAGAGCGTGCGGTCTTCCTGGGCTTTGTCAAAGCGCGATATGAGCTCGCGGGAGATGGCCATCTTGTCACGAATGCAACCCTTGGACTTGGCGCTCCAACTCGTCAGTGTGCGGGCCGTGCTCTGAAGGCGCAGCATGAGACGCCGGAAAGGGTCCGGGTCGTGCACCGATCCCCAAGCCGCGGCAACCGTGTCGTGGAATCTGTCAAGCCGCAGCCAGAAATCCTCAAAGTGGAACCTCTGATGCGCTACATGCGTGGGTGCGCAGTCAAGGAGGAGCGGGCAATGGTCGGACATGACGGAGGCGAGGCATCTCAAGTGGCAGTCACCATGCGCGTCCTCCTAGTCCACGGTGCAAAACACGCGGTCCAGGTGCACCAGGGTGGGCGGAGCTTGCTCGTTGGACCACGTGAATCTTCTTCCATTGAGGTATACCTCCTTGAGCGCGAGGTCGTTGATGAGGCGGCGGAATCTTCCCATCATGCGGCGATTCAGGTTGCCGTTATTCTTGTCTTCATCGCGTAGGATCAAGTTGAAGTCACCGGAAAGCATCCATGGCCCAGGGCAGTCCGCGCGTATATCGCGTATCTCCTGCAGAAAGGCGATCTTTTCCGCGTCCTCTTGGGGGCCGTAAACGACGGACATCCACCATGGCGTGCCATTGGCCGCGACCACTCTTGCAGTGACGGCGTTTGTGGTGAACAGGGGGTCAGTGATCGACACGACCCTGCTCTTCCACGCGAGCAGGATGCCTCCCCTTGTGCCGTTCGCCGGGAGGTACGTGTAGTCGTCAAACTCTGAACCGAGGGCATTGAGGACAACGGACGAGCACATCAAGGCCATTTTAGTTTCTTGTAGGCATACAATAGAGGCTCCGGTGGTGTTAAGCAGCGATCTAACGGCATAGCACCGGGCACGCGCGTTAAGGCCACGCACATTCCATGTAGCTATCTTGATGTCGTGATCCATGGGTGCATATGATCGACGGGGACGGACATCGCAATAGCCTTATGGCGAGCCGGCCATCCGAGCGGTGGCCGTCGCAGCAGCCGCGGTAGAGAAGTCCGCGGGTAGCTCTCGGTCTACTAGGGCAGCGATGGCCGTGAGCACCGAGAGCGGGATGGGCGCCGCAAACATGTCGTCGTACGCCTTCATCTCGGCAGCGGTGATCCTTTGGTTGGTCCCGACAATCCCGAGCGTGCGGAGGACCTGAACTTGCGCGCGGCGGGCAGCAGTGGGTAGCATAGCCGACGAGACGGCGGTGGTGGCCGATCGACCACGTCTGGGCGTGAAGTTCAGCGGGCAGCGCAGTTTTTTCCCTGGGGTTGGCAAAGCCGCGGTAATGTGCTTCGTTGAGGCTGCGAGAAACTCGCCTAGAGTCCAAGTCTCGGCGTGCAGGGGCGTGCGCGAGATCGGCGCAGCGTGATTGGCGGCGACGCAAACCTCCCCGGTGTCGGACGTGGGGAGCCATGCTGGGTCCCGTCAGCATGGGTGCAACGAGGCCCACGGCAGCCTCCTGCATGGTGGGTTGGGCTTGGGGCGTGGCCGGCCGTGACTCGGGCGTCGGGGGCGCGGGATTGGGCGGTTGCGAGTCTGTCAGGGACAGCGCGCTTGTCTCCGCGTGGGGTCCGATGTGTAGGCAGTCACCGTCACCAGGGCACATC